TGCTTTGACGCTAAATGTTAGATTATAATACATTTTAAAAACAGCAATAAAAGTGATTCGAAACCCATTCTTTTCACTTAGATTTCGTGAATGTTTGATTTTTGCGAACTTACTCCTTCAGACATGTTGGCGAATACATGGTTTCGCGAACGCTGATCTAGAAATGACTTAAGATTCGAGAATAATGAACTGTTAGAGACCTGGACTCTTCAGTACTCCATCCAGAGTTGTTCGCGTACAAGTAATAGCAAGGGATTTGAACTCGCGATTGATTCTACTCTTGTATTAACGTGAAAATAAATCCCACGCGAGATATAAGTGCTTTACACCACATGTACGTATGTGTTTTGTTCAATATTCTATTTTCCTCTCCCTTTGCGAACTTTTTCCTTTCACCTTTTTCAGGAACATCAAGTTCTGGTCTAAAATACCAGCACAACAGAATGCTTTTTAACATGGCTGTATGGTGCAGATTACCGTTTGTTTGGCTACTCTGTATCTAATTCTAAATTCAAAGTGAACGGTGCTTATCACTTGTGTGATTTATATGTGGTCATAACTTAAACCTCCTGACTGACAGCAAATATGGAAATCCAGCTATGAATATAGTTAGTGAAACAAGGGTTTTAATTTGTGTCATCTGACGAACAAATAGTCAAAAGCCATTAAAATATTGTAAAATCTTTAATAATTATTTAATTTTCTTCATATGTAATAGTATAAAGTTCGTTCTGAGTTACTGCCCGATAGTAATACTGTTTACCGAAATGGAATATATGGAATGTAAATTTTGATGAAGCAGAAAACGGATAACCCTTCCGGAATCCATGGTCTTATTCTCCCTGTATTTTTCCATTGGGTCCGTAGGAATATGTCTCTTCTTCCTATTTTGCCCTCGTGTGTTTGATTTTGAGCTCCGATTTAGATTTTGTTTATTATGCCAGTATTCTGTTCTTAGCTTTCAGGTACATAGAACACATTAATATACTGGAGAATACTGAAGCATCGTCATTTCGAGCAGATATTTTCGAAGTAAGAAATGAATAAAAAGAAGATATTATGAAATTTAAGGTAAATCAACTTTTTTTTATATTTTTTTCTGTAGTTTATTGACTTAGAGTTTAACATCTTTCTTGATTTTCATGTTACTGCTCCGTTGTAGGTTGGCATCATTTGAACACAGTATCAAATGTAAGGACATCTATGTGCATTGAAGGATTGTCATACTTTCGACCCGTTATGAAGCGTGTCGATAGGACAGGTTTATATCAGCCGGTGTTGATTTCCTACTTGACACTTCCACTTTTAGTTTCATTTCAGTCTTTTCTGGCTAAGAATACAACAAATTAATACGCATTGGAATAAAAGTTAATTTGTACAAACGAGCTTTTGATTTGAGAAGATTTCCGTCAAATAAAGACAGCGCCACGTGGAAGGCTGGCATCATCGGTTAATTCTTTGACCTTGAGGTCAGCGACACCCTCATTAGCCCCATTGAAGTCACAGAGGAACGAGAGTTCGGCACGTGCTCAAGTGCCTGGTGTTATTCGGAACTAAGGGGGCGTTTAATTAAAGTTATTGTCGCACGCCGGTTTATGTGATATCGTTATCAAACAATTGTGACGAGACAGAACACAAAACAACTGACACAACTAAATTTCATAATCAAGAAAACAAAAATGGTGACGAGGGGCCATTGCTAGCGACTTATGGGTTATGCATGGCAAAAAATCAATAACTTGAGATATGTGTCCTGAAAGATCGAACATTTGATATGCAAAGCAAACCATTGAGAATTGTGAAATAGTGTATGATTAAAGTACTAAACTACATGCAATATTAACGTAAAACTAATTGAAAACCCAATATAAACTGGATGTGAATGGAAAGCATAAACAAGTGCAATATTGAGCTGACAAAGACGTCAAATCTGCTAAGTTAGAGTTTTACAATCTCTTTTGTAACTCCCTAATGTTCCTCATCAAGCCAAGTATTGTAAGTGATTTACATTACCAAAACACAGGAAAAGGATAAAAGGCATATACACTTTTAATTATGATAAATTAAATACAATTTCTGTAACATAGATTGAGGTATCTGAGAGAGTACGTTTGTCAGTCAACGAAATTGTGACTGCCAATGTACTCTTTTATGTATTTAGAACAATTTCTTCCAAAACATCTCTCAAAACCTCTACACAAATTATAGAATCAATCCTCAATAATTCAGAACACTCTTACATGAATATAGGAGATTAGTAAATATGTTAATGATTCTGATTCAATGGATTTTGTTGCTGACAGCCTATAGTTTGTTTAACTGTAAATCCTTCCGATAATAAAGCAGTTAAATGGAAGATGCAAGTTTAATGTCCCATACACGTAGCATTTTTCTATGGTTCTAGCTCTCCCATATTAACCAATTTCAAAATGAAAAGAATGAATTTTTCAAAAGCGTCATAAACCATGCTTGGTTGTCTCTATCAATGTCCTTTTCAATGTATCCGTTTTTCACAAATTCAATTAATTCTCAAAACGAACGAAATTGCAAGTCCCTGAAAATTTCAATCAACATAATATAAGATATGTAGGTTTGTTTAAATTACCACGCTTAGAAAATGGCAAAAACGTCATTGCACAGGACAAAGGTAAAAACTGAACTGCTATGTGACACCGTGTTCTGCTTCCTTCGTTTGACCAGAAGATCATGAAGAACGAACATATTACTGCATGAATTGTCACTTTGAAGTAAAGAAGTAACAAAGTTGATATTGACGTATGGATAAGACCATTTCTTACAAAGATGGTACATTATTTAGAAACATATTTCGAATAACTGGGATGTATTCAATCGTTGACTAATAAGATTATTATGACTGACAACACATTTCACCCATTTTATACAGTTATTCTAAACCCAGTTTCATCGCGACCACAGTAACCTAAGTCCCCGTGTACAATGTCTCCCTGGCATCAGAGCCGTTACCAAGACAACATAGGAAAGGTAGGGTCAGAGTAAACCAGGGGGCGGGTCCCATCAAATAACACGGATGTGAAATCACTTTTAATATCCGTTTGCGAAATAGATCTTGTGTTCAATATTTTACCTAACAAAACGCTCGGATTCCTTGTTGTCAGGGAAATTTCTATAGGACTTCTGCAGCTAAATTACCGGGCGGATTTACTAAGTACTTTAGGAGAGGTGATCAATGACCAGTGTTTTTGAAGTCGAATTCTTTAAGAATGTGTCCGTTTTTCTCAAGATTGCAAATAACAACAAACGTTTCTTCAAAGTGAAAGGATGATATCTTTTTGCTAGAACTGACGATTCCGATATAGAATATTAAGTGAAGGGTATTATTGCATGCACTCGTAATAGGGGAAGGCCAGCAAAAGGCGTAAATAATAAAGTATCTTAATTGTGGTCTGAACACTAAAATAAACCAGGTGTTACTTTGTTGTGATACATTAATTAACTGCAGCAGTCTCCAGTCAGCTTTCCATTGCATACATCCTACATGTAACCAATCAACTATTGGTTGAATTGAACAATCTCAGTTATAGGGTTTACAGGAAAAAATAAAACGAACTTTTTGTTTACAAAAATATATGTTTATTAATATATATGTAGTAATCAAAACATATAGCAAGCTTTTATTTCGAAATAAACAATTCAAATTTGATGTGTAAAGTGAGATTTACAGAGGGATGATGAAATATGATTGTCGTTGACACGCACTGTTATACAAAATAAGTTTTTAAATCGCCTACTGTTCACAAAACAAACACATTTACATTTCATAGAGGAAAATTATAATGAACAATGACTCTTCTTCTAATAAATGTTTTAGTCGAAAATGTTGGTGTATCTTTATAAAAAAAAATATCACACATGCGTATGTTGCACCCTCATTATAAAATACAGATTCTCTAAAAAAATGTGAGATGAAAAGAACAATAAGTGTTGATGATGCAATATCAAAGATTTGAACCATAAGCGAAAAATGCACCAAAATTGTTATATCGTTTCTATCTAATTGGAGTCAACCGTTGAATACCGTTTGCAAGATAATGAAAAGTTTAGCTTTATTTTCTATATGAAAATTGCCAAACACTTACTTAAAGATATATTTATTTTTCGGATGAGCCAATTTTTGTCGTTTAACTAAAAATGAAAATCTTAACATTTTAGGGAAATCTATAATTCTATTATTTTTTTACGTATCTATTGTTGGCGATTTTATTCCGTCTTCGAAAAAAACTCAAATAAAACCTTTCAAAAATATAAACTTTCACTGTATATAATCAATGACTTTTACCATACACAAACTATACTCTACCAGTGACAAATACTATGTAAGTAAACACGATATTATTAAAATCATACAACTACAGTTAAAACATTATTTTTGCTTATTTTTCAGCAGGAGAATAGGGACTACGAGTACCGGTATATTACACTATGATTTAAGTATGAACTTAAGGTGAAAAAACAAGATGAGAAAGTTTTATAAAAAAAAAACAATTATCTGTACAAAATATTCCATTGATCATTATGACAAAATAAGAAATTGAGTAACAAAAGCTATGTAAATAAGGGAAAGATTGTACCAAAGACATTGATTTAAACATTAATTGACTTTTGTGATAAATGTACATATTGCATGATATATCCATGTGGAATATATGACTTTGTCGATTTCACAACGGAAACAAACTTCAACTGCTTCTAAAGAATCTAATTAAGAAAACAGACTAACTGTGATAATGGAAACATTCTACTAGGGATGGTAGTATCCTTTGATGCAATAGACAGCATGACGAATGCTGATATTGCAGACATTGCTCTTTAACAAGGTGTATTTTCTTCTGTAGAACTTTCTAATGCTTTAACACAATTTAAGTCGGAACATTTACAACAAAATAATTAAGATTATCTAAATGATCGAGCACATTATATATATGGGATTGGATTTCTGAAAGATTGTTCTACTCCGCAAATCAGACAAATGTGAAAAATGATGACAATGTTGAAAAGATAAGAACGATGATCAGGGGCGCTGATATTCTTGGGCTGCCACCAACTGTGATCAAAAAGGATGTCGTTGGATCTAAAGGTACGTGTCCTCCTGAAAGTAGGATAAAAATCAGGTGATCGGTTAATGGATGAAGAGTATAATGTCTGCACCAAATACTGAATTCAGTTGAGTATGTTTCAGTATCTTGTGAAAGGTGTATTTTTCTTGAATTGTGTTGATTTAGTAGTATAAGTTAGCTAGATTTCAAATCGGGAAAACATGACATTGGACACTATAACCCTACATTTTGTCTATCAAATCGGAAAAACATGACATTGGACACTATAACCCTACATTTTGTCTATCAAATCGGAAAAACATGAAATACATTGGACACTATAACCCTACATTTTGTCTATCAAATCAGAAAAACATGACACTGGACACTATAACTCTACATTTTGTCTATCAAATCGGGAAAACATGAAATACATTGGACACTATAACCCTACATTTTGTCTATCAAATCGGGAAACCATGAAATACATTGGACACTATAACCCTACATTTTGTCTATCAAATCGGGAAACCATGAAATACATTGGACACTATAACCCTACATTTTGTCTATCAAATCGGGAAAATATGAAATAAAATGGACACTATAACCCTACATTTTGCCTATCAAATCGGGAAAACATGAAATACATTTGACACTATAACCCTACATTTTATCTATCAAATCGGGAAACCATGAAATACATTGGACACTATAACCCTACATTTTGTCTATCAAATCGGGAAAATATGAAACAAAATGGACACTATAACTCTACATTTTGTCTATCAAATCGGGAAAATATGAAATAAAATGGACACCATAACTCTACATTTTGTCTATCAAATCGGGAAACCATGAAATACACTGGACACTATAATCCTACATTTTGTCTATCAAATCGGGAAAATATGAAGTAAAATGGACACTATAACTCTACATTTTGTCTATCAAATCGGGAAAATATGAAATAAATTGGACACCATAACTCTACATTTTGTCTATCAAATCGGGAAACCATGAAATACACTGGACACTATAACCCTACATTTTGTGTATCAAATCGGGAAAATATGAAGTAAAATGGAGACTATAACCCTACATTTTGTCTATCAAATCGGGAAAACATGAAATACACTGGACACTATAACCCTACATTTTGTCTATCAAATCGGGAAACCATGAAATACACTGGACACTATAATCCTACATTTTGTCTATCAAATCGGGAAAATATGAAATAAAATGGACACTATAATCCTACATTTTGTCTATCAAATCGGGAAACCATGAAATACACTGGACACTATAATCCTACATTTTGTCTATCCAATCGGGAAAATATGAAATAAAATGGACACTATAATCCTACATTTTGTCTATCAAATCGGGAAAATATGAAATAAAATGGACACTATAATCCTACATTTTGTCTATCAAATCGGGAAACCATGAAATACACTGGACACTATAATCCTACATTTTGTCTATCAAATCGGGAAAATATGACATTGGACATTATAACCCTACATTTTATCTATCAAATCGGGAAACCATGAAATACACTGGACACTATAACCCTACATTTTGTCTATCAAATCGGGAAAATATGAAATAAAATGGACACTATAATCCTACATTTTGTCTATCAAATCGGGAAAACATGACATTGGACACTATAATCCTACATTTTGTCTATCAAATCGGAAAAACATGACATTGGACACTATAACCCTACATTTTGTCTATCAAATCGGGAAAATATGTCTATCAAATAAATAACATTTTGTCTATCAAATCGGGAAATTCTTTATGGACACTATAACCCTACATTTTGTCTATCAAATCGGGAAAATATGAAATAAAATGGACACTATAATCCTACATTTTGTCTATCAAATCGGGAAAATATGACACTGGACATAATAACCCTACATTTTGTCTATCAAATCGGGAAAACATGAAATACATTGGACACTATAACTCTACATTTTGTCTATCAAATCGGGAAACCATGAAATACACTGGACACGATAACCCTACATTTTGTCTATCAAATCGGGAAAACTATAACCCTACATTGGACACTATAACCCTACATTTTGTCTATCAAATCGGGAAAACATGACACTGGACACTATAACTCTACATTTTGTCTATCAAATCGGGAAAACATGATACTGGACACTATAATCCTACATTTTGTCTATCAAATCGGGAAAACATGACACTGGACACTATAATCCTACATTTTGTCTATCAAATCGGGAAAACATGGGAAAACATGACATTGGACACTATAATCCTACATTTTGTCTATCAAATCGGAAAAACATGACATTGGACACTATAACCCTACATTTTGTCTATCAAATCGGGAAAACATGACACTGGACACTATAACCCTACATTTTGTCTATCAAATCATGGGAAAACATGACATTGGACACTATAACTCTACATTTTGTCTATCAAATCGGGAAAACATGACATTGGACACTATAATCCTACATTTTGTCTATCAAATCGGAAAAACATGACATTGGACACTATAACCCTACATTTTGTCTATCAAATCGGGAAAACATGACACTGGACACTATAACTCTACATTTTGTCTATCAAATCGGGAAAACATGACATTGGACACTATAACCCTACATTTTGTCTATCAAATCGGAAAAACATGACATTGGACACTATAACCCTACATTTTGTCTATCAAATCGGAAAAACATGACATTGGACACTATAACTCTACATTTTGTCTATCAAATCGGGAAAACATGACACTGGACACTATAATCCTACAGTTTGTCTATCAAATCGGGAAAACATGACATTGGACACTATAACCCTACATTTTGTCTATCAAATCGGGAAAACATGACACTGGACACTATAACTCTACATTTTGTCTATCAAATCGGAAAAACATGACACTGGACACTATAATCCTACATTTTGTCTATCAAATCGGGAAAACATGACACTGGACACTATAACTCTACATTTTGTCTATCAAATCGGAAAAAGCATGACATTGGACACTATAATCCTACATTTTGTCTATCAAATCGGGAAAACATGACATTGGACACTATAATCCTACATTTTGTCTATCAAATCGGAAAAACATGACATTGGACACTATAACCCTACATTTTGTCTATCAAATCGGGAAAACATGACACTGGACACTATAACTCTACATTTTGTCTATCAAATCGGGAAAACATGACATTGGACACTATAACTCTACATTTTGTCTATCAAATCGGGAAAACATGACATTGGACACTATAATCCTACATTTTGTCTATCAAATCGGAAAAACATGACATTGGACACTATAACCCTACATTTTGTCTATCAAATCGGGAAAATATGAAATAAAATGGACACTATAACCCTACATTTTGTCTATCAAATCGGGAAAATATGAAATAAAATGGACACTATAATCCTACATTTTGTCTATCAAATCGGGAAAATATGACACTGGACATAATAACCCTACATTTTGTCTATCAAATCGGGAAAACATGAAATACATTGGACACTATAACTCTACATTTTGTCTATCAAATCGGGAAACCATGAAATACACTGGACACGATAACCCTACATTTTGTCTATCAAATCGGGAAAACTATAACCCTACATTGGACACTATAACCCTACATTTTGTCTATCAAATCGGGAAAACATGACACTGGACACTATAACTCTACATTTTGTCTATCAAATCGGGAAAACATGACACTGGACACTATAATCCTACATTTTGTCTATCAAATCGGGAAAACATGACACTGGACACTATAATCCTACATTTTGTCTATCAAATCGGGAAAACATGACATTGGACACTATAATCCTACATTTTGTCTATCAAATCGGAAAAACATGACATTGGACACTATAACCCTACATTTTGTCTATCAAATCGGGAAAACATGACACTGGACACTATAACCCTACATTTTGTCTATCAAATCGGGAAAACATGACATTGGACACTATAACTCTACATTTTGTCTATCAAATCGGGAAAACATGACATTGGACACTATAATCCTACATTTTGTCTATCAAATCGGAAAAACATGACATTGGACACTATAACCCTACATTTTGTCTATCAAATCGGGAAAACATGACACTGGACACTATAACTCTACATTTTGTCTATCAAATCGGGAAAACATGACATTGGACACTATAACCCTACATTTTGTCTATCAAATCGGAAAAACATGACATTGGACACTATAACCCTACATTTTGTCTATCAAATCGGAAAAACATGACATTGGACACTATAACTCTACATTTTGTCTATCAAATCGGGAAAACATGACACTGGACACTATAATCCTACAGTTTGTCTATCAAATCGGGAAAACATGACATTGGACACTATAACCCTACATTTTGTCTATCAAATCGGGAAAACATGACACTGGACACTATAACTCTACATTTTGTCTATCAAATCGGAAAAACATGACACTGGACACTATAATCCTACATTTTGTCTATCAAATCGGGAAAACATGACACTGGACACTATAACTCTACATTTTGTCTATCAAATCGGAAAAGCATGACATTGGACACTATAACTCTACATTTTGTCTATCAAATCGGGAAAACATGACACTGGACACTATAACTCTACATTTTGTCTATCAAATCGGGAAAACATGACATTGGACACTATAACTCTACATTTTGTCTATCAAATCGGGAAAACATGACACTGGACACTATAACTCTACATTTTGTCTATCAAATCGGGAAAACATGACACTGGACACTATAACTCTACATTTTGTCTATCAAATCGGGAAAACATGACACTGGACACTATAACTCTACATTTTGTCTATCAAACCGGAAAACATGACACTGGACACTATAACCCTACATTTTGTCTATCAAATCGGGAAAACATGAAATACACTGGACACTATAACTCTACATTTTCAACATGACAACCCTTCACCTTAATAACCTGAAATAAACTATGACTAAAAGTGAGTATATATTTGACAGTATATATACGAATCAGTACATTTTTCACATCAGTCAGTAGTTTTTATATAAGAAGGTAAACAGTAAACACCAGCTGATAATACCTTTTTTTCCATGTCAGTATCTTATAAGCATGTGTACATACTGCAACTAATTAAATAAAAATAACACATGTATTTTGACCTATGTTTTCAAGGTGTTGATGATTTACTGGGATTAAGTACAAGGGTTTATTTAGTGACATATTTAAGTCAATATTATTCAATTATGGTTGTTTGTTTCTATCGATATCCGGCCTCGGTCGATGTTGTTTATCCGGACTTACGTACGGATTTCAAGTAATTCATGTATTTCGGAAGAAATATTCTAACCGACTTTACATAATCTGACCAACCTTAAGTATTTTGTATGTATGTTATCAAATCGGTGATTTGTTTTTACCAACTCTCTTTCTCTCCTGTGGTCATTCAGTTTGTAGATCGATTTTTTCAAAATAAGGCATGAATAAGAAATCTAAAATAGAACTATCTGAATTGTGATTGACTTTGGGAATTTCCTGATATTTCACAAAGTCACATCTCGTGTTTTGTAATTTCATAAAATGAAATTATTTATTGGCGACTATCAACAAATTAATTTACCATTTGGCGAGCCGGTCAGGATAATAAAATAGTTCAAAGAGTAACAGAACGTCAGACAGTGACATCAGTAGGTTTTGACCAAACAAATATACAGTACATGATAAAGCGATAAAGCGAGATAACTCCGACTGCCTCGGACTACTGAGTCATGCACGACACGGTCTTATTTCCCCCGAACTACTGACGCTGTCGTGATTATAATATCCTCAAACTCAGTTACAAAAGTATAGATAAAAGATGGTGTTAGATTGAAATGACAGTAAGTATCGAATAGATGAACATTACAAGGTGATAGTGATTGAGACAATTATGCCCCCCTACCCACTGTCGTTAATGTTGATAATGGAAACTGTAGTTCGGCCCCTCGTATCAAAACACATCTTCATACAAAGTTTTATCAAAATCAGACTACATTGAATACACGTAACCTCCCAACCAACTAAAGGTCGTATTTAATAAAACGCAGGACTATGTACCAAATATTATTACAATATATTCTTTACATTTTTCATGGTGGCCTCCCCGTTAACAGGAATATAGATGCAGTCTGGACCACAGGACGATAACACGATGTTATTTTGGTGACATGTTGACAGACGTTACGTCAACGCTTTACACTTCGCCTCAGATAACACGCTTTATACCTTTACGTTAATCAATTAGCTGACCAGGATTTTTAAAACGCTTTTCTAGTATGTTAACATACCACGAGGAAAACTAATCATGACGTCCTCCTCAGTCTTTTTATCTGTCACTCAGATTGCATTCATATGGACAATAAATACAATCTTACCGACGTTCAATGGTTAAATAACAATATTTACAACCTGACCAATCATCGACACATGATTGGATGTGATTTTGTCGATTTGAAAATTGATGCCATTGTTGTGTTCGCTATATCATTATCCATCTATACACTACACATCATTGAAATAAAACAACTTTTCCCCATGATTTGTGACCATGATCATTTCATGCCTAGCGTAACGGTACAACAGTTTAATCATTTAAGTTACACTCACCCAGAGTAAAGTATTGCGTTGGACTTTTCTTGCCGTCTCCGCCATTGCTGTACCCCAGAACCCTCAAGCAGTAGATGACATCTTTATGGATTCCGTAAATAACCGCATTTGTTTCTTTACCCGTAACTACAGTTTGAGCTGCTCGGAAGTTCTCTCCCCTTGGCCAAAACTCGAGCTAAAATACAAAAATACATATTGAAAAACAAAATAGCTATATTAAATTCTCCCTATAAAATATTCTGTTCTCCTTTATGTTTTTTATGCTTTCTGTATTAATATGCTTTTTTCTCATTTTCGATTTTTTAAAATTATTTAGACGGAATGTTAGCTTTTTTTAAAATGCGGTGTTTGTTTAATGTCACGATAACATTTTCAAATTGTAACAATAGATATAGAAACGTTCTCAGTCTCAAAAATTAATACAGATGATTCTGAATATAAAACGTTACAAAAAAGGAATTCCTATAAAGTGACACAACATCTTGTAAGTCTATATAAAACGCTAAAAGAGAGTTAACACGACACCATAGATCCTGTAAGGTAACGAAACTTAAGTAAGAATTAATACGGAATCTGAATCGGACGATTATGTTTAAGATCGGGTAAACAATTTATATGAAAAACGTACAGATAAATTACACTTACTATGCCTTGTCAGTTTTTCAAAGGTAAAAATACGTCAGTTTAATTCTTCGGAAATACGAAAGTCGTGACTATATTCATTTTTTAAAAAGAAGGTGTGCTCAGTTAAAAGCTGTATTGTCATCACACATTTCAATAAAGCATATTGTGTAACCCTGGTAGATACTAGTCTCATCTCTGTAGCTCCTTTGGTTAAGACCCAGACTAAACGTACCGAGTTCGAATCCTAACGCAGGCATTGAAGTAAATTATGACATCTGTTACAAGAGTTTTAAAGTCCAGCACCATTTGGATAATTCAATCAGAGACATATTTCAAAACTTTAAAAAGAAATTCATCGAAATTAGATACTTAATTAGGTACATCAATACTTAATTTTGTTGACATGTTGGTATTTTCTTGTTTTTCTATCATTTAACAAACAATCTACAAGTCAAATAAGGCAACTGTGTATTCCACTGAATTGCATTTTTACTGTTATCAAAATAATTTGAACACGGACTTGTATCGAATGGTTGTAAGGAGTGAGCTCAAAGTTCAATATTTACTGTAAACTTGCGATTTTGATGAACATTTGAAGTGTTACATGCATATCTACATGCCGAGTAGAACTAGGGTGGATTAAAAGCATAAATCTCTTTACAAAATGTAGACTACATGTAGGAGAGAATGACGGTTCCATTTGTGATCATTGTGGAAGAACAGATTCAATAGATATTGAAGCGTGATAAATAAATATATATATGTTTCTGTACATATTTGTGTACATATTTGGTTTTGATAGATAACAACTCGAAATACATTTTTGTATAACATTTTTTTCATACGCATTCCTGGTAGAAATATAGCATAACCTCGCGTGGCTGACTGTACGATATCTCTTTAATGACGTCACGCTGTCAAATGTCAAATTTTCGATAGTCGCTGCTTTCAAAGCGGTGAGTTAATGGTAATCACCACATTACTAGAAAACGCATGATCTGATTCGCATATAGTTTCCACATATATTACTTTTTAGCTAAACAAAATGAATAAGCACAATTTATCAAGACATTCAATTTGACTGTATGATGTAAATGTGATAACCACTGTGAAGTCAAATCGCCCATTATAAACAAAAGTTTACCAAAGTTGATCACACACACTAAATTGATAGAAAATTACACGTGTATGATAACGCCTGTTCCACATGTGAAATTGAAGCGGGAGTATATGTCAACAATTTCCATAAACGCAAGGTGCCAGCCTAACGGTCTTGAAGTCAACAAATAAAGAAAAATATCTGTAATGTGTACTGTACGTGTAAACGACTTTGAAAATAAGAGCGAAAAAAGTAAAACAAGCGCAAGTATATCTAAAATCAGTCCACACATAATTCAGTGAATACCTTCTGAAGGATTTGTGTTGATGTCAGTGTAACATACTGTATAGTTATCTAATTTTGCGAATGTTCCGGTTCGGGATTGTTCCCCCGTATATAATTTCACACAAGTCAATGAACTGGTGTCCATGTATAAAACATAATAGATATTTTTAGATTGTTATTCACTGTAGAATTGTTCACTGACATAGCGAAATTAAATATCCTGCGAATACAACCAAATATACAGTACCTTGTAGCCTTTAATGGCTTCCTCTATGAGCCCCGTGCTGATCCCACGCCATTGCACTGCAACACTTTCGGAGCCGTGGGATGTTATGGTTACATACTCCGGATAATGGAAAGGAGCTGTAACAAAATAGAAACGAAATGGGATTATAGATGACAAGGCAAGTACGAATGAACCTGTAAACTACCATTAAAGAATCTTTCAGTAACTGTGTTCGTATAAACTTCATTTATAGAGAATCAAACAAAATACATGGAGTTTGCATTCAACAAAATTGATTATACTGCTCAAAACCGCTGTTAACATCCGATGACGATTTTCATAGAATTATTGCCAATTAGGTTCCTGTCAAGTTTGCATCATAACCTTAGTGTTCTTAGCATTTTACGATTTAATGAGTACGGATTGTTGTCTTTTCCTCTAGAAAAGATGAACATTATTTAACCCTTATTAAGATTTTTACTATCAAGCATCTGCAAAACATTAACGAATCTTTAACATTTCCTTCTTTTTCTGCTCTGATAATCTTAAGGATGTATTTCTTTGACGGTTGACCGGAAATAAGACATAATTCAATATGAAATGAATTCCAACAAGATATCTTAGAGTCATGTTTGTTATCTATTGTTGTAACTTTAAAAGGGCGATTTTATGCCGGTTTTTATGACGTTTGAAGAACTTTCATTTGTTTACAACCATTTTTGAAGAGGTAGTTGCTAAGGTAGGCCTACTTATCTTTAGTATAAATCTAGAAGTCTTGGTAAGATTTCAATTAAATTTTTGCTTGAATTTACACCACAAATCATACATTTCAAATTCATGATTTCCGACTTGGTGAACCATTTTCCCAGATTTTTAAAACCCGAGTGCAACTATTTCAGCTTGGAAAATTGGCTATTTGCAAAATTAAAGCACGACTCTCTCTTTCTTACTCATAAAAAGTAAACACGAAAATTTCTCTATCCAAGCATAAAGTGTTGAAGAAAGTTAACTACTATTCACTTTTGAAAACAAATTTTGTGGTTGCTATGTAGTTTAAAGCTCGTTAAATCAAATGAAAACTTAACATTTTCAAACCATTTTGTTCTAAATGCCCAAGCATCATACTCTTACTGTGTAATAGAAGACGAACATTTATTTTCAAGAAAATAACAGCGAATAATTGTTATTCAGGACAAAAGTGGGAATTACATGTGAAAATGAAATATTTCCTGTTGCACACATTCTGACGACTGTAATAAAACCTATCGATACATCCTCATCGGGAGGAAAATGTTTAGTACTGAATTTTTCACATGTAGAGATAATTATCGTGTAGTTATTTGTTTGTTTTTCTTTGCAAAATATTATCCTCGATGAAATACACATCAGATATAAAATATACAACTGTCTCCTGTTTGAAAAACCATCAAACATTACATCTAGTTGACCTGATAAGAAGCCTTACCGCTGAGGTAGGCACTGATTAGAAACCTTACCGCTGAGGTAGGTACTGATTATAAGTCTTACCGCTGAGGTAGGTACTGATTAGAAGCCTTACCGCTGAGGTAGGTACTGATTATAAGTCTTACCGCTGAGGTAGGTACTGATTAGAGGCCTTACCACTGAGGTAAGTACTGATTATAAGTCTTACCGCTGAGGTAGGTACTGATAAGAAGCCTTACCGCTGAGGTAGGCACTGATTAGAAACCTTACCGCTGAGGTAGGTACTGATGAGAAACCTTACCACTGAGGTAGGTACTGATTAGAAGCCTTACCACTGAGTTAGGTACTGATGAGAAGCCTTACCACTGAGGTAGATACTGATTAGAAGTCTTACCGCTGAGGTAGGTACTGATTAGAAGCCTTACCGCTGAGGTAGGTACTGATTAGAAGCCTAACCGCTGAGGTAAGTACTGATTAGAAGCCTTACCGCTGAGGTAGGTACTGATTAGAAGCCTTACCGCTGAGGTAGGTACTGATTCGATAACGTTCACTAGGGTTGCTTTCTCCTGCAGAGTTGAAAACCTGTACTGTGACCCAGTAGTCAGAGTTTGGCTCCACCCCAATAATTACTCCAGTCGTATGTTCTCCATACAAGTATGTTGTACCAGATTTCCGGTTGGGGTCATTAAAGTCTTCTACATTAAGCTGTACAATATAAAATAAAGGATAAAATGCAAACAGTACAGAGGAACAAAACATATATCTCCCTACAATAAAAACAATGTATGGTAAGGATTTGTAGCAAAAAGGATACAAAATAAATTGAGTTATGTCTATGTTCACAAAAGGACATCCGCTATACTCCTGGGGCGACCATTCGATTTCTGCGACCCAATATATCACAGAAAAATTGAAGGCACAAGCAAAGCAATTTGATTGGTTCAAGGAGAAAAAACTGAAAGGCTGAAAGGCTCCTTTAGAAGATTACAAGGAAGCGACAACCAACTATAAATACATTCATTTACAATATACAGTTATACGATCACGATTTGATGTACATCAAATGATCAAGATAGTCTTTTCGTATTGTCCAGCAGGTGTCCCACATGGAACCTTCAATGCTGCCTTGACTAAGAGTTACCTCAAAACCTTGAATTACGCCTTTCATTGCTAAGCGTGTGTTGGGTACTGGATCCCAAGTTAAGTAGATAGCCGTGGAGTTTACACCGTCTCCTCTCACATTCTTCGGCACGTAAGTTGGCACTGTGTCAATCAAAGAATCAGTAAATTGAAAGAATACCGCGACAAAATATGCAAAAAAAAAGTCTTATTTTACATACGTTTCTAAGATGAACACATACTTACATTCGAGATATATGCTTTGTTTCAGTGGTTTGGATTGCACTTAGAAACAAGAGACCCATAGGGCCTGTATTGCTCACCAGATCTTAAATCCGTACAATGGTATATATGCCTATAGGTTGAGTATTTCAAATATTTCCAAATTAAAACTCATTTAAACCCTTTGATGGGGAAAGAATTATAGGTAAATTCTTATGTCAGTCTTTCTCTTTTGATGCTCTGTAAGAGTTACATGGTTATCGAGTTGGTATCTCAGCTATCTCAAAAATAATGTTCATAGAGATTGTACAAAAGACACACAGGCGAATAGCACATTTCCATAATTTAGAGAAAGGTACACTAGAGCCAAACATTGAAGTAAACAGCATCACACAGTTGTTTCGTCCTTCTAGGACTCGTCAGTGATGCTAAGGGCCTGATTTCTGAAGCCAAGGAGGCGACTAAGAAAATTCCAATTCGATCAAAAGAAAAGTAAAAATCTAGACGGGTAGGAGCAGCAGCCCAATAATCGAACAAATTTCGTAATTTTCATAAATCAGATAATTTTAGAACAACGTCAAGTACAGGTGTATTTTCCTAACCGTGCCACGAGAAGTGTGCCACACCCAAGAGTCAATTCTTACGTAACAAATGTGTTTATCTCTGGATGCTAAGAAATTATATATATCAATATGTTTCAACCCAGAAATTAGGTCCAGAGGGATAGTGTCACATCTGAGGACCAGTTCTTACATCGTGAATGTACTTATCTCTTGATGCCCAACATTGCTATGTATGGTTATGGGATGAGGATCTCAACTACAGGAAGAGTAGGATTTTAAAGAATTTGCTCTATTTCCCTTATTGGGTCACGTCCCTTCTACCCCAATGGGACCGAGATTTCCACCGTACATAAGCAACTGATTTCCCTTTACATAAACATCCTTCACATCACATTTGGACGAAATCGAATGATTCCTACAGGAGTTGTAGGATTTTAAAGCATTTGATCTATTTCCCCTATAGGGCCCCGCCCCTCCCGCTCGAGGGGCAGAGACTCACCATTTATACAAAAATTATTCGTCTTCACCCAAAGATGCTTTTGACAAAATTTTTACAAAATAAAATCAGTTCTAAAGGTAGAGTAGGATTTTTAAAAGACATGCCAATTTCCCCTTTTGGGTCCCAACCCTCAGGCCCTAGGGGCCGGAACACATGATTTATACAAAATTGTTTCTTCCCCTAAGGATGCTTGTGATCAAATATAATCAAAATCGGACGAAGCGGTATCTCTATAGTTCACTTGGCCATTCGTGACAGGTGAGCTAAAAAATCTACAATGTTACTTAAGTACGTATACTGACACTGTAGTGGATATTTTTAGAGTCACTTAGTCTACAAACAGCCAGGGTAATTTAAGAGGAAAAGCCAGAGTTACCGGAGAAAAAAACTTGCCAGTTACCCTCATTAGAGAAATGAAACCTTTGCTAATGCGTGTTAAAAACCTCTGATGTGAATGTCGTAATGAGGATTAACTATATGGACGAAAGATTCTACCGACTATTTTGAACATAACTTAGGACTTCATTTAATCACAAATGTACAAATGTTGCGATAAACAAGTAGATTTCCGTGTTTTATTGTTATGGGTAAAACTACGACTGATTCGAAAATTACATAACACTAACATGATATGATAGAATTACTTATCAGTATTTTGAGAAATAAGGAAAAGAATTCCTTGTACTGAACTCAGTCGAATAGAGGAAACAATAATGTTTTCTGATAAGTTAGCATTTCTGTAACTTAGTGAAAAAAACTTATATTTTCTGTGAATTCATATTTTATGTCTTCGTCTTCAAAACTCGTTTAATTAGTTCGAAATGGTTTGGGTTTTTAAAAAAAAGAAATAAAGCAGAAATGCATATTGATTTGAAATAGCGTAATAATTATATTTGCATGCTGTTATAGATGCACGATAAAATTTTAACATGGCGCTCTATTGCGCATCATTTGAAACATCTGTAACACGGACTACATAAACAGCAAACTTGAAATCAAAGAAAATAAATAATTTGTGAAATGACCTACTTCCTTCCGCAGAGTATGCAATGGCAACAGAACTGTTAGGCCCCAATCCAAACTCGTTGAATGCGCCAACAATGACTTCATACTGCAGATAGTAGTTATTTAAACCGACGTCCTCCACATGTTGACTGATATTCCCGGTCTTCCGAATCTTCAATCACATTATAGATACCCTAGAATTAGCTAGTTTTCTATCTTTAATCGGTAGCTTTACTGTGCAGTAGGAACTATTTACGAGTGATTCAATTTCGCTGTATTCGCGGCCATTAAAGAAATCGTTAACTGCTGGAAATGAAGGAAATATGTTTACAGGGAATAAAAATCTCGAAAATGTTTATAAAATGCATGTTAACCTTGATATCAATTTATAGTCTTGCACTTCTGTGTATTGCTAGGTACATTTGCGCAAAATCTAATTCTAGTGAACTTAAGCCAACCAGGCAGTCGCGATGGTACAAAAAAACAAACATCATATCTAATGTGTATTTGTTCCGGGCAATACTGTATGCATATCTGCCAAATGTAAAGAAAATTAATCACAAGCTCTTGCAAATAACATTATAGTAGCCGTAAGAACACATTCATAGTTTTTCATGAAAGCAAAAACATTTATTAAACTTGTAATAAATCGATTAGATTCCACAAATTACACTATTTCTTAACATTGTTTTTACCTTTTTGTATGCCGATGTATCGTCCTTCAGTCTCCAGTACACAATATATCCGATTTTAGATCCACCTCTGCTTTCAAGTGGAAGAGGCTGTAATGTATAAACACATGTTAAAGTACTGTACTTTATATCTCGACAAAGCTTAATATCAAGAAGTAAAAAACATATCTTATTCTATTTTCTCGACCAAAACGATATATTCGTGTATGTGACCGATGGGTGGAAATTGTGATTGTGGTGAAAGAGTCGGATATGGAAATATGGTGTTGAACATTATCTAACAATTTATGTGATGTTTGTAACCTTATACATATAACACTGTGTTGTTATATGGTGTTTTCTGAAATGAAGTTTAGTCATTAGCATCATTAGAGATTTCGAAATTACGGTCCTTTAATGTACAATATCTAGATACGCGGTCATTGGTTATTGTATTCTCTACATCAGCGCTTATCTCAACCTGTTTCTACAGGGAAACCAACATAAACAGCTTTCCACCAAACCGCATGATAGCAAATAGCAAAATTTCTGCATCCCGAACTTTTGGTGTTTACATGATGTAGTTGATTCGCTATTTAAGGGCCTGTCCCCATGATTTTCGCGCAAGAAGTCGTCAACTAGATGGACGGACATAAGATAGGGAATTAAAAAAAGATGAAAATTGATAAAAATTATGGGAAAGTTTTACGGTCGTCATAGTGATCTAATTGAGAAATATTCTACTTCTTTGTGATGTGAAGTTGACGTGTTTGATGCGCTTTGGTTTGTACATATCTTGCCCTAGCTTTATTGAATACGGGTTTGGATTATGATTGTTGGTGATTTCTTGTTTTTATGATCGCCCATGATACTCATTAATAAATTATTAATACTGACCGACCAAGTGATTGTAAGAACACCGACGGTGCCACCGCCTCCTCCTACGTCTCTTGGGGCAACAACAGGTGCTGCACCATTGAGGTGGTAAGAATCTGCAACAAAGAGTTTCTTACTTGTTAATACGGATTGACACAAAACCAAGTCACACTTACGAAGATATCTTAAAGAACAGAATGATTCAGGATGTATGAATTGTGACTTGGAAATAATATTATGATATGCATTAATACTATGCACAATGCCCATGTAAGCAATATATGAATATATTAAGAAACAATAGCACATTTGCACATTTTTGTTCTAAATGATAAATAGTAACAGTACATTATAAGTCTGTACATACACTTTCTTGTTTACTTGTGTTTTAAAGTTAAAATCTAATAGTGGAATACAGTTTCACCTGATGCAATACTAGGTGGTCCGAGAGTAGGGTAGCTGTTTACAGCCCTAATTCTGAAAAAGTAGTCATTGAATGGCTTCAGCCCTGTAACAAGGAACGATCTCTTGTCCATCCCACTTACTGGGTCAGATAACAGGGCGTCCTGCTCCGAGATATCTGTTAGCAAATTGTCACGTGCAAATTAATGTTTGTCTTAGTATCTGATATATCTATATGAAAAAAACACACTGCAAAAATTCTACATTACATACAGAATATTGCATATCGTTATTACTAACAATCGGTACAATTAAAATATGTCTAGATAATTTTCAAAATATTGAAATAAAATATGAACAGAAGATTGGATTCTGGAAAATATAATAACATCGTATAATCTGACATGATTAAACATTCAACAAAAAAACTCAAAAGGATAAGAAGAAAATAAATATTCGCTTTATATATGAATGACGATATACACATAATCCATGTAATAGCAAAATCAATATTATAATAGGAATCACAAAAAACACTCCTAAAATATCTGTTATTCCTATATACAAGTACACTGGGTAATGCGTGATATTTAATACTAGTGAAGTAACCTAAGCCGAAATAACCGCGAAATTAAACAAATTATACGGTATACGCAAAATCTGCTACATTGAGACAAACACATCTTGTGATATTTTGCATAAAGATGTACCTCATACATATATTACGTTTCAGTCAAGAAAAGAATTTCATTATATAACAAGTGGCTGTAAGATTGCATCCTATATCGAAATCCAATCGCTTTCGATTAGACTTGGTTTCGGCAATACCTACTTGCTACTTGCACTATCCACTGAGGGTTGTAGTGTGTCTTTGACTCGATGATGTAATAAATCACCGGGCTGCCATGATCTGGGGGCGGTGTCCATTTGAGACGCAGTGAATGAGGGGTTCTACTGTTTAGATCAGCGTAGACTCCAGAGGGTTCTCCGGGTGGTCCTTGTATTTTAAACAAATTTGTCATTACATTGTACTCAATTACGCTGATAGATAAACAGAAAACAGAATGTTGACGGTAATTTAAAACATTTAGAAATAAAGTCTGATGTGTTACTACAATCACAATTGCATTCAAATGTTTCGTGTTTTGACAGAATATTAACGCCAAAATGTTATGTAGTAGATGTTGAATTCGTAGAGTAATAAAGAGCAGAGATGTGTTTGTTATTAACTGGTAAGGTATGGTGTAAATCGCTATAACATCTTAGACTTTCCCTTTTTGACCAGTCATGTATGATCATTGTTGCCCTGACTGTTTTTAGAATCAGTGAAATATAATACCTTTCACCGTCAGTGTTGATCCGCTCTTGATAATTGACCGAGTAGTCAGTGCCTGGCATTCGTAGTATCCAGTATGTTGGAAATCGGCGTACATTATGTAAAGACCCCGTATGTTTATTCTCTCGCCCTGTAATGGAATTGGATCGTTACAGCTTGATTTCCGCGTTCTATTTTACAATGGCAAAACTTTTCCTTAGCGTTTTTACAAGTAACAAACTGAAGAGATGTCATTTGTGATGGAACGGTAAGCTTTTTCCTGCATCTTGAGACAACTTTTTATTTAAGCAAATTACAGAAGAGTAACTAATTAGCCAAGTTGCATCGAATTAAAAAGTGGAATTAAACCAACCGTTGCCAGCCATGTGAAGATTCTCCATGGATACTTACTAGTCGATAGTGTGCGTTTTCAGTGATGTTGATGACACGATTATTATGGGTCCAGCGGTAAATGAGATCATACCTCGTGTCGTATGACACCTCACATTGTAAGAAAGCTGTGCTGTTATAGTCTACAGTCGTAGGTAAAGGTGTGTGTATAAACGACATCTGGTCTACAAAAACCGGAATGTGAAATATTTTAAACATAATGTTTTATAAAGAATTTATTAACAATTTTTTCCTTGTACTCATATCAACAATTTCGATCTCATATTATTTTTTCTTTTGTCAATGGTATTGAGGTGAGTAAACCTGTTCATGTGCAAAATCGGCGATATTGACTTCAAAATATAAGATAACTTCAAATGTCTAATGACGTCATCAATATCACGAATGCATAAGAATTAGTCGATATCACGTAGCCACGGTGTATAAACAGAGAAGGCAATGATAAGAATTGTACGTCATCAAAATTAGCTAACCATTCTCAACTGCATTATCAATTCAGTATAAAATACAACCCTAAATTGTATTGATGTTACAATTTGCGAATACATCGTGAAATATATATCTACTAATTTTGTATGCGTAAATGGTTTGTTTTGAACAATATTACGATCTTATTGGAAAAGATCTCGATTGTCCCTAATTATGGGAAAGCTTTTCGAGAAACACGAATTCTCTACTCTCAGGTAGTGTGCATAATAGGTATTTGCAAATCATTTATAAGGAACTGTGAACTAAATCTCGAATATCAAACAAGTGTTTCTCTCATTCAATCCACTTAGAATAGGTTCTAAAGAGAGCTGATTAAAGTGAGACGGGAACGATACAGGTAACACAATGATCACAGTAAGCGTTTTAAGTACTAATTACATACTTATCACAGTCAGCTGACAGCTACTGTCAGCCTGGCCATTTTCGTTTGAAGCTCTGCAGGTATACAATCCTTCATCCGAAAGCTGAACGCCAGTTATCCTAAGGTCTCCGTTATAAAGAATTTCCAATCCTGTCCGTGATCCTAAAGGAGAACCATTTCTGAGCCAGGTGATCTCAGGTGTTGGAGCTGCTTCCGGTCGACATGGTATAGTGATATTACCGTTCATTGCACCATACATGGTCATGGGTAATGGATATCTCATGAACGATGGTTTCACGGCTGAAAAAAAACGTATTGGGAAAGTAAAACAAAGAAGTAATGAAAATGAAAATATATATGAATCACGGAACAAATATGGACCACAAATCATAATGCGACTGATGATATTGCCATGTTGTTGGTTCAATATATATATATATCTCCACATTACAAAAAACAAAAACAAAAAAAAAACACGATACTATATTTTAACCGAATATTGAAATCAAAGTGAATTCATGAATGTTGTATCATTAATCCGGATATCAATATCTAGAATATACCAATACATAATATATGATTTCTAGTCAAAGCCTGGAAAAAGCCAAACGATTGGTTAATCAAGAAATGTGTATCATTCTAATCCCTACTCATGTAAACGATATGTAAATCATATTAGTTAACCAGTTAAAAACAATTTGAGAAGGATCGCTTAGAAGTCGCATCATCATTAAATATCACATTCCTCAAAAGAAACAAGAAATTCACATGAAGGCAGCCATCGAATAAATCAAATCATTTTTTTCGCTAATACCCCTCCCCTCAGAAAAACGGCCGACCTCAAAAATATACCTATCCTGAAGATAATCCTGTTGTTTCTTACAGAAATGATCCCGTAGTTTCTTACAGAATAATCCTGTAGTTTCTTACAAAAATAATCCTGCAGTTTCTTATATGAAAATAATCTTGTTGTTTCTTACAAAAATAATCCTGTAGTTTCTTACACAAATGATCCTGTAGTTTCTTACACAAATGATCCTGTAGTTTCTTACAAAAATAATCCTGTAGTTTCTTACAAAATAATCCTGTAGTTTCTTACAAAAATAATCCTGTAGTTTCTTACAAAAATAATCCTGTAGTTTCTTACAAAAATGATCCTGTAGTTTCTTACAAAAATAATCCTGTAGTTTCTTACACAAATGATCCTGTAGTTTCTTACAAAATAATCCTGTAGTTTCTTACACAAATAATCCCGCATTTGCTCACTATTACTGGATTTTTAAGGTATAACATTATATTCTTACGACTGATATGTTATATCATTATTTCAACGTTTACACATGGTAACAATGACCTCAGTGTACAGCGCGGTCGTAACTATCATAAAACTTACACAGGACACGGAGTTGTCCGCCGCTCAGTGTTATTCCATACGTGTTTTCCGCGGAACATTGATACATGCCGCTGTCACGAGTTGGATCAAGACTGTTAATTTTCAGTACGTTTGATGTGATATCTAATTGACCAGGGATTGGAAGCAAAGGTTTCGAATCTTTGTACCAGGTGAAAGTAGCACGTGGAACGGCTACGGCTTCGCAACGCCATGTCAGTTCACTATTGATGTCAGCATGGATATTCTTCAGCGGAGAAACAAAGTAGGGCTTAGCTGAGGACAGAATATCACGACATTTTGAGACTGAGTGGACGAGAAAATAACAAAATCCATTAACGTTTAAAAATAAAAGCTTAGAAATCGTCTTTTCTTACATAACATATTTTGTTAAAGCTTTGGATTAATTCTAAATAGTGACAATGCATCATCTTGAAGTAGTCAAATCGCCATTGTCAATTGTATCAAGTTACAATGTCATTTTCCGATATAAAGAGGTGTTTTGCTGATTTTAACACATTTGATCAAAAAAGGATTTTTTATTTCCATATTTCCAGCTTCTTTTATGTTCCGCTATATCCAACTCTTTTGCCAGTGATTAAATCTTTTAACAGTGATTCAAACGGAACAAAATGAAACTAACAAAACTTGTCAATAATGCGTGGTATGTTCTCCTACAGAAGATAGAACTAACATAAAAATATTCCATGCCTAAATTATTTAGTTGCAAATAAACGAAAGAACTTTTAAGTAAAAAAACAATGGAGAGAACAGATTGTATACAAACCTCCAATCGACAAAGTAAACTGATTTACAGACGTTGTTGCTCGGGAAGATTTTACAAGACACTCGTATGTCCCTTCGTCCTCAAGCTGGACATTTTCAATAATGAGTACCCGATTAAGGTCAGTTGCCCGTGCTCGTGACGACATGGGTTTGTTCTTGCGTGACCACGTGTAGTAAAGAGGTAATCTATTTGTATGAAAATAGTATGAAAATAGTATGAAACATGTCTTTTAAACACGCAAAAATATATTTGTTTATTCTGCACACAATGGCTGTGAAAGAAATGTAAACATCTGGTATGATTATATAATCTCGAAGGTTTCGCAAATGCCTATGAATATCCTATAAGTGTATGGTCAATCGCTGCAATGCTGGAAATATATCAGTTATGCTTCGTTTAATGTCCATAATTATGTATCCCAAAAAAACTAATAAGAAATCATTCCAATACGCTTGCATAAAATGGTCATAATATTTTGGGCAATGTTTGACTAAACTTCGAGAGACTTTCGTTGATATTTGATAAGTAATTTTTCTATTTCCGTGTAAATATTCCAAAATAATCGTCATACTTATTTATGTCTCCTTACGCCATAAGACTGCTGAAGTCGTGTTTCGTCAGATTATTGTCGTATTGTTTGGAACAATAGAAAAAATACAGTCTGAACTAAGTTTAAGATATTCCATATAAGTCAGGACTATTCTCGTCATAGCCTACAAAATCGATTCCGTATTCATCTTTTAAAGAAAAGTACTATGTGTCACAAAATTCAAGATATGATGGTATGCTTTAACCTATGGAAATATTTACTTGATTAAATTTTACATGCAAATTGTGTTTCAGTGGAATTTCCATTACAGAAAAATGGGAACAATTCGACTGTGATTCAAACCGGACCTTTCCTTACAGGAAAGTAGGAACTCTTTGACAGCGTTTCAAATCAGTATTTACCTAAGGACTCAGGCATGTGTTAAATAACTTAGCCTAACGTACTCAGGAATAACATACTTCAACATACTTTTATGTCCATTAACCTAAATTAACATACCTACTGCGTAGCCTGTTGTAGTTTTACTTCAGAATAACTTGTATAAACCACATGAAAGTCGCAAGTATTGATTTAGTTTTTGAACATGTTAACGAACATAAACTTGCGAATTTCGCATGTGTGACCGAGTCTTTACAGAAAAAAAATTTAAACCGCTTAATCCATTTCAGAAAAATACAATGCAAGAACAATTTGACTGTTAATCAAACCCGGATCTTCCATTACGAAAAAATAAGAACAATTTGACGACGATTAACCGGATTTTCCACGACAGAAAAAAGGCTTAATCGGTCAAAAGCGATCAATCATCACCTTCCATATGCTAAGCACTCGATGTATATAGTCATTCCTCGGACTGGGTTTTTAGGGTAGACTACTGGAAACCCGTCGTGTATCTCTGGGGGATAATCTGCCGCAGCTGTGGATGACAAAATAAGAATTAAGATTGGCATCTGACTCATGCAATAATAAAGTTTTCAATGTATGGGTGAATATCCTAAAGTAAGAAAACAGTCCACAATATCTATTCGGCATGGCTTGCCTTTGGTTTCTCTAGAAATATCATGTATACCCTTTGCTTTAATTTACCAGTATGAAATATAACATAATAATATGTTTCAATAACTTACTCTGACTTCCGACACTGAGTCTGATACCACGACTTAGAGAACTGGTAGGCTGGACGGTGGCCAGTGTGCCTGTTTGACCAGCTGACAGAGTTACAGAACAATAATAATAGCCACTGTCTACAGCCTGGACCTCCGAGAAGTAGAGATTTCCGCCTTGTGATATGAAGTAGTAATTGTTCAGTTGAGGCATCAGAAATTCCAACCCATTCTTCCCCTCCCTCATCCACTGAAAAGTAGCACCTGTCAAAATATAGACCAATTATATCAACACTATATTATGTAGACGTTTAACATAACAATGTATAACGTGGATCCTGTCGGAAGGTATGGATGCGTGAGCATGTGGAACAATGTGTTATATTACGTTACAAGACCAGTGACAGACAATTAATATTTCGTGCACTGTTAATGAGAAGAGAGGTTCCTGTATCATTCCATTTATAAGATGAATGCGTTACTTATAACCTGTCTAGCATGAGGTGAAGAAGTGATGATACATCTGGTATATAAGAAGTAGTCTTTTTCTACGACATTTACGAGAATGTGATAAGATTTCATGATAAGTTGAGTGTTATTTACCTGGTTTAAATGAAGGTGGGTTACAGTTCATATAGGTTCCTTGATACTGCGATGCGTTCACCGCCCCAGGTTGTACATTGGAAAACTCGCGAAGGTCTGCGGGTTTAAAATGTAAAATCAGATACAACAAATAATACTATATTTTCTAATATTCTCACCTTTACTTACACAGGTTTATAAATATCAGAACATTAAGACAGCCTCTTCAACTGTTATCTGAACCTCACTGAAAATAATTATACGATCATGTTCAAGTTAAAAATGAATTGAGAATACTGGTTTGAATGAACTGAAAATTGTTAGATTACGTTGACACTATGGTCAGGAAATGACATACACGGCGAATATACAGAACAAGGCTGATAAGGCTATATGCCCGGAAGCTTAAGCAACGTCTACGTCGTCCAACACAAATGCAATTCATATCAAGGTCAAATCAGAGGAATTTCACGCTCTCATTCTTCGAACCGAAATGATAACAGTTACAATAATTCAAGGTGTTTACATATCACTTTATCGCGGTAACAAAGTTGTCTCTTGGCGGTACATAAATCATTTTCTGCGTTATCATATCTTTTGCTTATACCTTAACAATACTTAACAACGAACAAGTTTGATTGCATACTGTAAGCTCTCTTACTCAGCCGTGATCCAAGCATTATTTCATCATTTATTTCATTAGAAATGAGATGAATTCTGAATTTGGAAAATAATGTTTGTATTAAACAGGTAATAAAGAAGACATAATTTTGATGAGATCGCTTATTATCTTTTTTTTTCTATAGCATTAGAATTAACGGAATGACTTACATCCATAAGTGATATGAACAATATCGCTGAGGGTCGACCCGAACTCGTTGAACGCGATGCACTGATAGGCTCCGGCTGTGGTTGTCTCTGATACATTGTCGAAAGTCAGTTTCCCGTTGGTGATTGTAATCGACTTGGAAGCCAACACCTCTTCCGTTTGATTCTCGCCCCTGTACCATCTATAATCTGGCTGGGGATTACCTCTGGCTACACATTCCAAGGAAGTTGTAGTTGTCCGCTCCGTAATTACAACATTTGAGGGTTGTATGATAAACTTTGGGCCGGTCAGCACATTATTTGGGTCCAGTATATCGGTTCCAAAAGCTTGTAAGTAAGCACGTAGTTTTAGTGATATCAGTTACGGAGACAAAAAAAAAACACACAAAAAAAAAACCAGAACAATCAAAAACATGAATTGAAATGATTATATCAAATCAGTACTTATTGGTATTTAATATTATAAATGCTATTTTATGACCATTAGTTCAGCAATAAGACATTAATAGATGACACATTATATTGAATGTTTTAATCATTGTTCTTTCTCCGTGAATGTATGAGTCTATTTACTTACTAAAATCTCGCTTCTAACTGAAGTCTCGTTACCTACTGAAGTATCGGTGTTTACTGAGTCTTGTAACTTACAAAAATCTCGCTTCTAACTGAAGTCTCGCCACCTCCTGAAGTATCGGTGTTTACCGAGTCTTATATCTTACTAAAATCTCGCTTCTTACTGAAGTCTCGTTACTTACTGAAGTATCGATGTTTACTAAGTCTTGTAACTTACTAAAATCTCGCTTCTAACTGAAGTCTCGTCATCTACTGAAGTATCGGTGTTTACTGAGTCTTGTAAATCAGGTATTATCACTCACAGATTTCTGTACTTGTTGAGGTCATCCTATTAACTAAGACTTCCCACTCTTACTTAGTAAAGCAAATCACTGAAGTCTTGACATTTCCTAAAATGTTTCTAAAGTCTCTTTCCATACCGATGAATCTCTAATTAATTGCCTTCCTTTCATAAGATATCACTAATGCTATCTACTCTAGTAGCTTGGTTGCTTACTTGCGTCTCGCATATCGCTTGCATTTCATTGGAATCAACGTTTCACCTCTCTCTAGAATCTTTCTACTAACTAACTTGTCTACAATTCCTCAATCAAATTTATAGTCAATTTTCACATTTAGCCTACCCCAACCGATTGCTAAAATGACTGACTTACTAAAGTCACGCTCGTCTTGAACCAGTCTGTGAACTTCTGCCCTGGGTATTTCACAAATGTAACTCGACTTCACATTTCGGGTTTGCTTCTCCCACCAGTAACCAGGGTTTTGATCTGTGGAAAGTACAAAAGTTCTGAAAATTCAATATCTATATTTTGCTACAACAAAACTTCTTAAATTCTTACATACATTATATCTTCAATGGGCTCCCATTTTTTTTCATTCTCTAAAACGTACAGTTTCTCTGCCTCCTACACAGTCGGGCATTTTTCTAGAATTAGAAATATACAAATTTAATTGCAGTCGCAATGCAAAGACACTAATGTGTGAGTTTAGTATTACACATGTGGAGGTGATGAAGCAATCTTTTTATAGCATGTGCACGTTAATTGATAAAACAAACATAAAGACGTTCAGATGTCTTACAAAGAAAGTGTTTTCCTATTTCTTAGCATCAGTTTGCGTAATAATGATCAAATTCTACAGCAGAATATTAATGTTGCACGCCATTTTGAAATTGTAAAAAACAGAAGATCAGAAATAAATCCAAGGATGTATCAAGTGCTTGTATTTTTATTACATACTAAATCTAATGTTTTATGTTTTTTTCCTTCAAAATTCCAAATCTGGCCATTCAACTGTAGTTATTTCATTTCGAGTATACCACGGGATGATCATTCGATGATGTATTTGGCGATTTGATCGATGTCTTTTGGGTATGGTTTTTTTATTGTTCAACGTCCAACCAACAGCTTTAAGGACAGTCTCCGATGTACAAGCGCGGATCCCTGTATTGATTGAATACATTTTACCGATTCTGTTGATATTGTGTTCAAGTTCCAAGGCCCATAATTTGGTTAATTTGTCACAGTCATTGTTGTACACATGTCATCGAAGATGTTTCCGGTAAAATATTCGATCTTTTCAATGTCATGGGGTAGAAAAAGGAATGCAAGGAACGCTGTTCGTAAAGATTAATACTGAACCCTTTCTGTTTTAACAAACTTCTGCTACTAATGATCAATAGATTTGTATTTGACATGTCGAGCTGGCGCTCATATATACTGAAACAAAAATCAGCCTCCAATTAAATTTCAGTAATCTTCAATATCAATAAGCTATTGTTTGCAGTGTTGAATACATGAAATCATATGCATTTCCTTTCTATTCACGTTTGAATGAATTAGTGGTCAAATGCCGACATAGTTATACTCGTTATTAAAGTCGGAACATTTCAATGACTATATTTCTCTTTTAGTAATGATGGCTAACTCTAAATTTCTATTAGCCAATATATTATAACCATGTCTTCATCGGTTGTATAAACTAAATGAAACATTTGAGTGAAATTTCCAAAACTTGGAGGATACGTTTCTTTTACATGTCGATAAATATGCAACATTCATGCTTAATTTTTTTCATGAACATCTGTCATAAATTGTGTAGGTGTCTATATCTTCTAAAGTTATTTGCAATAAATTCTTTATATTGAAAAACATGTGCCACTAGTTTTTATCAATTCCTACTTAAGACGCCTTTACCAGTGTAATATGTAATAGGAACATATTACCATTATTACACAATTAGCATACTTCCGAAAATTGCCTTTTTCAATTTTGGGAAAAGATGAAAGTCTGGAGGCAGCCATGGGAATAATAGACCTATGAACAGTGGCATTGTCCTGATGGAGAAACACACCTTAACAGAGTTTTCCGAGGCGCTTGATTTTTTCTCTTAACTTTATAAGAAATGAAGGGTGATGTGTGCATAGATATCTCTGCCACAAAAAAGAACAAATCACATCGAAATTTTATATTTAAGGACGATTTTACTCTTTATTGCATGCGGAAGTCGAATTTTTAAAACTTTCTTTTTAATCACAACGTTGCTGTTTTCAACATACTTAATTTGGTATGATGCTTATTATAGAACTATTTTGTTCACGCTTACTTTCTTATGTAGACCACTATTAATACATATATCTGAAAGCGTGTTATATGTGGATGTAAAGTCGTGCGATCTAAAAATTAATTCATCGAAACGTAAATCATTTTAAATGTGTATCATATCGATACTTTTTCATCAGTTCATACAATGACATTAAAGGAATGCAAATATTTAACAATATCAGCATGATATGTATCTGTTGTATGCATTACTATACGCCTTAATGCTTTTCAGCTTTATTTTAATTGGTGATCACAAACGCAGTTCGACATCATAAATTTTCAAAACATTGCAATCTGCGATAAAGCTATAATGATAGGTCTTCATTTGTATTAAGTTATCGATGAAGGTCAAACCGAAGTGAAGTCTTACATAAACCACAAAGAAGTTTATATTACATTCCGTTTTTTGTGTTATGTCTCAATAACATTACAATAATCAACTTTTTTGTGCAAACTATTTAAAACTATTTCGAACATGACATGTCAACATTCAAACATGGTCGCACAATTATTTCTTCAATCATACTAGGTAAAGAAATAAAACTGATCAGATTTTAATGTCCGTCACAGACATCAAAGATTCCGATAAGGTTCATTAACAAGATAACATGACATATCATATTCCAAGGATGTATAAATCAATCGATTCTTTTTATTATTCTAAGATCTATTCACGGATGTTATTTGCATATTTTCTTCTTCCATGTTATTGCTTCCAGTAAAAGAAAATTACATCATTTCAATTCATGGTATGTTGTTACCTATACACAAATATCGGCTGACGTCCGTTAAATCATTTGATGTTCATGTTTGGCATTTCAAGTCATTAAAAATGACAGTTTAACTATCTAATATTCAGTAACATCAATAGGAATTGATAATTACGTAACGTGTTATTGAGGAACTTGAATGTGTTCTTGGTCTCTGACACCAAAAATATGTTATCGTATCCGTGTTGCATTACATCAATATATAATATGTTACATTTCACTAATTACATATGTGTTACTAATGAGTAAAATTAAGAGGATTTGAAATAAGGATATAAGTAATAGAGATAACATTTTATCGGCGGTAACAATTGACAAACGAACAATAAACTTGCGATTCAGTATCAAAGGAAGCATTTATTCTTATTTCTTGAAATTCAAAACCAAGTTGAATATAACCCATAAATTATCACTACATCTGATATAAACAATACCTACATGTTTCTCTTTAAATAAATAACTTCATATTCTGAACACCATATTTTCTTTTGATTTGAAATTGTTCGAATGACTATATATATTTTTACTTTTAACAAAGTTTATCAATCAAGTTGTCGAACCGGATCTATCATCATATTGCATTTAACATTTAAGCACAGTTTTCCGCGATATTGCCATCGTCTCGATCCTTCTCATTAAAACTACCCCCATTTAATAACATGGTGCTGGAGATGGACTTTGAAAATCTAGATAGGAAGAGACGGTATCAGTCATTTTCACATGAGATAAAAAGTTCCAGTATAAGTCATGTTCTGCTGAACAGTTTAGTTCACCTCTACACAACGTGTACTGGCATTGTATCAATATCAATATATAAGATGGCGCGTAAGTGAATGGTATATTTAAATACAATGTAGTGTAGTAATTGACACGAGTTATGTAAAATAACATAGGCTCGTCAGGATATTTAGAGGTGAAATCTAGAACGCACTTTGCACATAATCCAATCGACTCAATAAATCTCGTAAATCTTCAACATCAGACAATTTTAACGAATTTCAAGCACACAAAAAAGCGGACATATGTCTGTTTGAATTCATCAAGCGAGTATTATGATTCAACACCACAATAGTAGCACATAATCAAGCAGAAAAAGTCAACTGGGTCATTTGTCAATACGGGGACTATTAAGTGCCATCAATTCTTCATGCCGACGTAAAACATAGTTGCACCAGATATTCTCAATCTATTCATGACATGGGTGATGTGACAACTCATGAGAAACTCTTTGATTTTATACCATCAATATGCCTTATTGCTCAGCTATCCCAAATTGTTAACAAATGACTTACAAGTAATTGGTTTCTTCCGCTACAAATAAATATAAAGTCAAGACAGCTATCAGATCTGAGGGGAAAAGTTTGTTACCAGTCTCATTTCATAGTTTATCATTGCCTTAAACGTCTACTTAAGTCTTATTATGGCAAAGATTGAAGACAATAATATACCTTAACTTTATAACCTCCGCATAAAGTATTCGGGTAAATGGATTTAGTATAATTTGTGGTACATCCTCATGTTATAGTTTGCAAAGGATACAATGTGTTCCGTGAGTATTTGTCAATTGGTAATTTGCTCAGCCTTGAACTTGGCAGACATTAAACCATATCGGCATAAAATAAGTCTTAACTTCATATCTAAGATCAAATATAGCATCAGATGTTTTGGATTTTTCTTCACAAGTCGTATAACTAATTTTTTTTCCTAAACGTTTTTAAACATCAGGAAAGAGCATAGAGGAATGCATAATTTAAGCAAGGCATTACAACATTAAAAGAAACATTTTTTTCACGTGGTGTCTGTTGAATATACATTTTATTATTATTTGTTATTGTGTACTTAAATCCTATGAAAAGCACTGTATTTATTTTTCATTTGGATGACCACATTAGCAGCTATACGAAATACAATCCAAGTGCATTGTGTGTAAAAGAGTCTATTGAGTAGATGTCACGTGTATCGCTTAGATCTATGTGCTATGAAACTTATGAAACTGTCGATTTTTTTTATTAATTACAGTTTTTTTTCTAAAGATTCGAAAAAACAAAAATATCTCCATACCAAAACATTGTTTGTACATGACTCACTGTTGTAAATTTTTGATCGAAATTTTTTCTTGAATTTTGATTCCAGAACAGTTTAAGTATCAAGTAAAATTAGCTACATTTGTTTTGAGAATGTGACAGTACAAAAACTTACATGAGTAAGCGTATACAACATGGATTGCTGGGTTACTTTTGTGTGCAGTGGTCAGCCAGTACTCGAAATTCGGGTCAGCGAACTGACCGTCACCTTCCCATTTAACGCGGCCATCAAGTTCAGAGCCACTGGTCCACCATGTGTAACGCCTGTGATGGTAAAGTTTTGATGTATATTTAATACACATCAGAATACTGTATCATTGGTCTATTTTCGTCAAGCATAGCTATTTCCAAATGTGATGAGCATAAACAAAAAGGTAATAACACAACATTTCACAATTATTATTATTATTATTTTGGCAACATTTTCGAAAATTAGGCACAGAAAAAGTCGTTTTAAGGCAGTTTCGCCCTTTAAAATTAAACAAAATTGAATGTAGAATTTTAGGAATCAGTTTTGATTGCTTAACCGATTTAACCAATGTTTGTTGGATATGCAAAAATAAATAAAGATCAATGCCTTTGGCAGACGAAATTTTATATGATGTGATGAATTTGAGATTAAAATGTATGAGATTATGGTTTATATCAGTTTATTTTATTCATCTTCATCATTCTAAATCATAATTGATAGCGCAGTTCTTTAAACAAAATATGAATTATCTAATGCAATGCATATTGGGGATTCAACAAAGCAAACAAGTTTCACCATTTCATATATATCAAAATTGAGGTGATTATTTGCATTGCTAGCATTGTCAGAGGTGATTGCGGTTGCAGTCCTTACTTCGCAATGTCGATCATCTTCAGTTGCTGTGTGACAAAGACGTGTTCGTCATACGAGTTAATGCTGACAAGGGCAGCACCTTTTCCCTTAAATGAAAACAAAGCTCTTATTGATTATTAATTCAAATACGGTAATTTTTTACGGCTCAAATTTTCGTGGTATTATGAATAAGAAGTCATGAAGACCATGGTATTCTTTATTAGTTTTATTTTCGATGCATCAACTTTTAATTTTTTATTTCACTTGCAATCTTTTACAATGGTGAGACAATAGATCCCTCGAAAATCGCAGTATTTAAGATAAATTTAATGATGCATTTGTTGTAAAGTTAGGCTATACATTTAGAGGAGAATTTTCTCTTCGTTTAAAAGATTATAAATCGATAAATTATTTCGTATCGCTTTTCATCTTTCTATCTATAAAGCACTTGATAAAGTTATTGGACAATTAAGTTAGTATAACCTTTCTTTATAAGTATTGATAACAGTGTATGACATCTACGGTGCAATGTAAGTTTATAGATGTGTTAAATAGTAAATAGAAATATTTAATCTATTAAGAAACAGTATGGCGTGTTGATGATGTTGTGTATAGCATATATATTACGAATCCAATGCATATGAAATATTTTAGTAGCTGATATCTCTATCGGAGTGACGAACAATGCCCATTGAAACAACAATAAATTTCAGTTAATTTCGTTTTAGGACATTGATATTTCACACCATGTATCCATTTTTCTAGTTGCACTTACCTTGCATGTCTTATCTGCCTCCTCGTACAAAGCTAATGGATCTTTGATAAACTCGTAGCAGCTTTGGGAGTGGAGAAACCATCCAAGAGGACAATCTACAAAATGGTATATAACTGACAACTAAATGCTGAAGAAATGTACAGATATTTGTTTAAGTGTCGGATGTCATTAAATTCATTTGGTATGTAGATATCTATATTAAGATTACGAGTTCTAATGTAATTAACTGTAGTTTTATATTTTCAAATAATCGTGACAAGTTATGTGCTTATAACAATGTGGGCAAGATGATTTTCATCATTAACCAAAGTTAGAGGGAAAAACATTGCTCAGTACACACTAATTGTCTCAAAATTACCAGCATCGGAAAAATTATATATATTATCATATTATCATGTTTACGTTATCGAAATGAATATTTACAAACAATAAAACTTCGTGCAATACGATCATGAACAGAGATATTCTAAATCTGCCAAATTGTTCCGTTCACATGCTGCTTTTATTTATAGTTTACCATTTAGATGTTATTACTTACCTCCTGTGACTTGACTGTCAATCCCTACCACCAATGTACATAGCAAAGCTACTACCGATGTTTGCATTGTTATTTCCCCCTTGTCACTACTCTCTCAGAAAATTATCTGTCAGAAGAAAATATCATCTAACAATCATACAAACACATTATTGTCTTGTGCTAAATGCCAAGTATAAATCGACATAAAAATGTAACTTTCAAAGATCACTCAAGAGGTTTGCACAAAAACAACACTGGCATGTCAACACAATCTTGATTTCAGAATTGATGAAACTAGTGCAGTATATTCCTAACATTTTTGTTTAATATCTGAAAGAAATGGGTATGCATATGGATATTGAAGCAAAAGGTTCCTTTCAAGGCATATTTTTTATTATGATATACGTTATTTGATACCTAATACCGGTGTAATTTCTTTTCTTCTCATGATATTTTTCATATACAACAGTTTTCAAACAATTTTACGCGGTAAGAAAAGAAATGGGTATTGTTACTAGTACGAATTATTGATGTGACCACAATGTTTTTGCAGAATCTTTCCTTTTTTTAAGGTGAAAGTTGTGTTGTATAGTATACGTAAGCGTCTCGACACATCTTATTACGTCTTAAACTTCTGTACCAGATATTTACCCAGACTACTTCAAGTCCCACCAATATGAAAATATCCGTTTTGTGAAAGAATGCTTAAAACAGGTAGTTCATTATGTGATATAGTAAGAAAACATCTTCGACCTTTCTTCTGATCAATGTATCCAGGCAGGATGATAGCCAAGCCGCATTATTAAAATACGTCTTCATTTCGGCAGGATCTCCAGTTATAAGAATATCACTGTCGGTTGTATGACAACAATACGAAAAAGATACCTATATGTAGTCAAAATCTCAATTCCAACTCAAAATTATTGCAAAGAGTGCTAACTAGGGACAAAAGATAAAATTATATAGAAACCCATCTAACAAAGCACAAATAGATTCAGACCAAGTGTCCCACAATGGTAAACAGCGCCTTATACTTCATCGACGGCAGTCGCCATGTAAATTTCGGTCACTCTAATTTTTAAACCATTCAACATTATATCTAACAAGGAAACAGATTTTGTTTTTCCAATTGCATAATGATATGAACAATAAAACAATCACATAGTCTTTATCAACATGCATCTCATAAAACCCGATGTTGGAAAAGGAATAGATCGAACTTCAGAGAATAAATGTCTCTAATTCCCAGTAACTGGTTACTACACTACACTGAAAACAACAGAAATGTTGAAAAGATTGTATTACTATCATAATTGTCAAAGCAACAGCGCTTTGAGATTTACTTAGCTGTGAATAAGATAATATTCATATATAAATATTTGCGAATGTTATAATTAATGTAACATTCAATCAATGTGAACTATTGTGATTTTTTTACAAACTGCACATTGCAACAATAAACGCAAGGTCGTTTCTCGTTTGCCACCTGCACCGATAATATCACGACTCCACATTACACAATTACCTCTGTTTACTCTGCTGGTAGAGAAAACCTCTATAACATCTGTCTCAATTCAGAACTGATCGGTGTGCAGGTGTGACACGGTTAACGGGTCCACGAGAACTTTGTTTTTTATGTTTTATGCGACAGATAGTAAATATAGTATAGGCAGGTAAACCTATATATTTGGATGTTACGAAATGACTGACAAAAACAGTTGACAACAGTTTCTCATTAAGATTAATATCCAGACGCTATTCATTTTATTTTCACATTACAAGGGTCATAATATTTTGCAACAAACGAAGGATCAAATCACGACCAAAGAGTTGTTTCAGCATATAATAGAATAATAATCTATCTAGATCAACTGAATATTATATGAGCGCTCTTGTTAGATCCTATTTGTTATGAATCTAGAGATCTATGAATCAATTTTAATTAGCCTTTAGTACTACGTATGTGAAGCTGTATCAGTATGTCCTTGTAAAAAACTTATTTATATAAGCTTTCGTATTCCTGACATTTGACATGCTATGTAATATAAATTCACAGAGTAAGAATGTTTTTAAAAGATCCCAAAAGCATGACGGATGAAGGAACAAATGAATAAATCTGAGTATGATGCAGCATAATTCATTCTTTGGCGGTACTATATGTATGATCGTATTTTTTGCATCAAAAGTTGCCATTCACTTGTGTGTCTTTATGCAATATTTCATGTTGCAATTTTTATTTTTATATACATGTGCATTTAAATATTTTCAAGTACTGTTTATAGAATACGTTTTAATTAAAATGATATGAGTATGATGTCATCACATTATGGATACAGCAGTGATTTATTTACGTGAAATAGATATCGTGTGATTCAAAACACGTGCCCAAAAGAAAACTACAATGACAATCGTATTTCGTTGACTCGGACAAGTCTCTCTTAGACTCAATCATACAGTTTGTGATAATGTTTGAATAAAATTTTATCCTATTTTTCCTGTTGAATAAATCAGTTCGAAAGCCTCATAATTTTTAATACATGAAAATCGATTTTCATATTGTCATTTTATAAATGATTTGAAAATAGTTTAGACAATCTATAATACACATTTATTATCGAAAGATAAAAAACAATCGTAAAGCATTATAAGGGTGAACCAATGAGGTTATAGTATATAGTCGGTGTTGATAATCATCACTCATGTGATTGTATAACAGGTTCACAACTAAAAAGATAGTGCCCTTCGATTTCATCAACATAATATTACACAGGAATGCTTATGTTAGCAATATAACATGTTAGACTGTGGTGAATTCAAGCATGTGATGTCATATGTCAGACTGAAGTGAACTCAAGCATTTCATGTCATATGTCAGACTGAAGTGAACTCAAGCATTTTAAGTAACACATTAGACTGAGGTGAACGCAAGCATTTCATGCCACATATCAGACTGAGGTGAATTCAAGCATTTTAAGTAACACATTAGACTGAGGTGAACGCAAGCATTTGATGTAACATATTAGACTGAGGTGAACTCATGCATTTCATGCCACATATCAGACTGAGGTGAATTCAAGCATTTCATGTAACATATCAGACTGGGTTGAACTAAAGCATTTAATGTAACATATTAGACAGAGATGAATTCAAACAGTCTTTGTATCATATTAGACGGAGGTGAACTCGGGCATTTGATATAACATATTAGACTGAGATGAACTCAAGCATTGTTGTAACATAGACGATTTGTCTGACTGACAAATCCATAACACAAGCCTTCAAAAGATGCAGGCTGATGAAAATTATGGCAAAGTTTTGTGGTCGCCATATTGATCTTATTGAGAAATATTCTTCTTCTTTGTTCGATATGAAGCTGAACGTGTTTAACATTCGTTAGCATGCCTGTTGGTTCCGTTCGTTAATACCTTTTTCTCATTTGAGAACATGACATTACCTACTTGGATTTACAAGATGGGTATCATCAATGAAGCATTATATGCTAACTCCTCCGGAACACCTGGTCTTATCCTTCTTGTAGTTTTTCAGGAGTCTCCGTGTAGATCATTCTTTTGTTCATATTTTGCTTTAATTTTTTTATTTTAGATTATGGTGACATGTTGGTATTTTTTTTTTTTTTTTTGTTTATATATATTAAATATATATATATTTTTTTATATATATATATATATAAATATATATATATATAGCCGTTAGAGGAAACAAAGCAAACATAGAGAAATAAATAAAATGCTTAGTGTCTTCAGATATGTGTATCAGTGTGAAGGGGTACACGTTATCCAAAGAGCTCACATGTTAATGTTGTCTTGTCAAATCCTTTATTTGGCAAGACAGATCAGTTTACTAACTGTAGTCACCCAAAATTATTCTCGTCGTCCCCTTCCTCCAATTTTTACCCAACCCTTCATTATATCCTGATCAACAACAAAATATACGTATTGACGCTTTTTACTACAGTAACGTTTACGACATAAATGTAGTACATGACAAGATGATACGTATGTAGTTTTCCAACACATCTCTTTCTGGTAAGCGGTTTTTTCTCTCTCTTTCTCCAACTTCCCACAGCCGTCAAACATGAGATCAGGTGACAAAGATGTATTGATCACAGGTCAAAGGTCAGGATGAAGTTTCGGGCGCAGAGGGAGGAAGCGCAGGGAAATATATACAACTTGCGTTTTAAACGTTTGAGATGTCAACAGACATACAACACTTAATAGCGCTTACAGGGAAGCTATACGGAATATTTTTGTCGGATGGAATAATGGTAGTAAAAACACTTGTTCATAGTTTGCCTTCATTTGTTTGAATTTGAGCTTGATTATGATTATGTTGACATGTAGGTATTTTCTTGTTTTATCAAAGTCGTGGATGACTGAATCATTTCTAAGGATTTAACAATATATTATCATAGTAGGAGATAAGATATAATCCATGTTAAAAAGGGCGACATAAAAGAGATGTAGTCATATGTGTGGGAGACACCCAGGCTTTCCGAATCGTTCCAACATTTGTTCATTATCTGTTAGGATTAATAAGACAGATTATATAGTTTTGTTGTTTTAGCAGAGTTATCTCCCTTCATATTTATTTCCTCATTCTACTGTTACACGCCTATACAGTCAATACGCCTCACATGTGGCATGATACGCAGTTTAAACATCAATAAAGTGTTATCAACATGCCATCTAATAAAAATAGTATCAAAGTGCAAATAACCATAGATTTGTAAATCTACACATCTTTCATCTTATTCCTTAAATGAGTGCACATGTTATGTATATTGAAGTATAAGGTAAGCTGATTGACCATATACCTATTGACGGGGTCAATTGTAAGTACATTATCGGTTTGATAAAGGAAAAACAAATCTTGTACTATCAATCTTGCAGCGCTGCCTTCAGGAGATCATTTTATACGAAGTCGGTGTCGACATAATATATTTGTACAACACAACGAACTTAAAGCCGTCTGGTCTGATTTTGATAATTCCTTCGTGTTTTAATTCTAGGCCGATTTGATATTTTAGGTCATAAAAAATTCTAAAAATTAATAAATAATGTAATTTAG